AATATGAGAGATGCCCTCTCAAAAAATAAAAATAAATAAAAATAAATAAAAACTCAAAGACACAATTCAAAAGTCCCCTGTCAACTTCGGAAAAACAGATTCAGCTAATTCTGGTCAGGCTAAATGGCTTGTGTGGCCCAGGCTCCTCCCTACACTCCCGGGCTGCCTGGCCCCACCGGCTTGGAGTCTCTTGTCCCTGTAACAGCCCCATACTGTGCCTGTGGGGCTGACAGTCAGCAACCTCTTGCTTTGATCGTCCAGGAGAACCTCCAAAAAATTCTGAGCCTTCATCCACTCTGGTACCTTCCATTTTCAGTCTTAATTTTCTGGTTGTAGTCATGAAGGATACTTCACTATCCAAAAGTAAGTTATCATCGAATGACAGTTTTATTTACTAAGTATCAATGAGCTAAAACACAAGTATATTTAGTTCCTTTCAATGCTGGGGAATGTTTTTATCAAAAGCTGGAAACAGTCTTGTCACTTTTAGCAACCATAGTCTCACTCATAATAATACACTACCCCACAAATTAAAAGTCACTGGAATGAATGATCTTTTGTGATTTTAAAAATAATAATGCCAATTTGTGTTATCTCATTAAAATTTGTATATCCTGTAAGAGAAATGAGCAGTTACTTAAAAGCTGTGTCGAATCATGGTAATCTTTTTCCTTTATTAGAAGTAATCACCTTATATCAGTTTTTAACTTACTGTCTTTTAAGAAGGGAACTACTGTCTGAAAACCATTTTATAAAGGATCTACATGGCTGGAAGGATGCCTGTATACCATTTTCTCACTGAGCACATACAATGCAATACACTTTGAGGGTTGGAAGATGTTCAGGCCTTAGTAACCTGGCCAAGCAGCCACCGTAATTGATAATAGGTAATTGATCATTAGCAAATCAGTTACATTCTGAATAAATCCTTGGTGCTGTTTTAACCTATTTTTACAGAAGGTACTTGAAATAGTATCTGTCCATAATTAACGGAGGAGGTGGGGAAGTGAGCCATGATATCCCTCACCTTCCTAATGCTGCACAAACTTAAAATTAGTGACAGACCTCTTACCTCAAGGCCTCAGGGAGCGATGCTGAATCTGTATCTGGACCTGAGAAGACCTACGCACTGGTTTTGGTTTCAAAGCTACAGAGCCACAGGTTTGCGTTACTCGTCTGTTTTTCTGAAGACCTACAAAGGATATCAAGAATTTGTAGCAGTTGGGGCCAGGCCACTAACTGAAGTAGATTGTTGGGGGGACTCAGGGGAGGTTTCCTCATCATTCAGGAATTTCTTGTAATGGTATAATGTTCCTTGTGTACACTGCATGTAATAAAAGGGACAGTATGCAATGAATGGTCAGCCTTCAAGTGCGGTGTTGTCGTCAGCCCTGAGATTGCCCTGGGAAGTGACCGCTTAGTCAAGACCACCCGTAGGTGGCATTCCCTCGATTGCAGCAACCCTCTGGGTGGCTAGAGACCCACCCGCCTTTCCAGGGAGCAGACGCTGTGGGCAGAGGAACGTCAGTCCTGGTAAAGCTCCACACCTGGTTTCTGAGGACTCTGCTTCTCTTAAAACCATCTGGGTTAGAGGCTGCTGGTTCACATACACCGTGGGGCCGAGATGAAGGCCATGCTCCTGGGCCCCTGCGTGCTCTCCTGGCGAGTGTTCCCACCCTCGCTCAAACAGGGTCTCTGAGTGGCGCAAGTTCGAACTTTTCCAGTCAATCAACACCTGCTGTTCCCATTATCCCAGGAAGAAACATTGCCTGGGTTGATAATTACCAGGATGTCAACTGTCTAACCTCTAACCAAACCATCTCAGCCCATCCTTTCTGTACCTTCCCTACCTGATCATTTTTCTCTGTAGTACCAGTTCTCTGTCTGTCTGCACCAAAATACTGTCTTCTCCAGTGTGTCCTCATGGGCTTCTCTCTCGGAGCCATGGAGGATGGGCTTCAAGTTTGTGAAATCCTGGAAACAGGACATGAACTGTGGTGTGCCTGTGCCCGTGCCTGTCAGAGGGAATCCATAATTTCATGTGATTCTCAGAGCCTGTGACAGCAGTAGTATTTCAGAACCACTGATCAGACCTGAATTCACAGCCTGGTAATGCCACCTACTCAGTCATGGGACCCTAGGCAAAACACCGCTTTCTAGAAGTTCCTTATCAGAGTGATAAGGATCAAAACACATCCTCTACAGGGGCTTCATGAGAAAGAATCCATGTAAAATGTTTAATGTCAGCCACTCAAGTAGATGAACATTATTCACAATGAGCCACATCTAATAGCTACCTATTTTTTCTAGGTAAACTCTATTCTCATGGCTTCATTTATCATCTAAAAGTGAAAGAGGACCCTCTGCCTATTTTACAGCTCAAACTTCTCAAGCTCCATCAAGGCTATACATAAAGCCACTGGGTACTAAATCTGAATTTCCTACCAGCATCTTAGATTCATTGTGTGTTTCTCTGCCACCTTATCATATATTGTTCACTTAAAGCTCACCAACTCGTGTGGCCAAGCTAGGAATATGTATGTTATCTTAGATTCACTCTTCCCCTTAACATTCAGCAGGAGACTCCATGGCCTGTTGCTTCTCCCTTTAAAAGCTCTCTGTATCCCAGTGTTTGCTGCCTGGAAACTTAGTAACTTAACCTTATTATTCCAATAGCTTCATAACTTATTTTTGTCCCAAGGTTCTCACCTGCCCATTTGTGTCCTCCAGTTACCGGAGGGCCCTATGTGAGGGATTAAAGAAAAAAGTATTAAACTGTGTTCAAATCCCCCTTTCCCCTTGAAAACCTTTCCTCTGTCAGTCTGGCCCTCCCTCCCCTGTAAGAAATAGTCTGTTGGTGCTACTAGCTTTGGGACGTGGGCTTCGGTTGTAGAAAATGAGGATAAATGGTGCCAAGAATCACAGCCTTATAAGGTGCAAGACTAGCTTGACTCCCGTTATCAAAAGGAGCAGCAGTTTCCTACTAGAAAGGGGGGATGAAGAGCAGAAGGTGGGTGGGCAGGGGGAACGTGGCCGGATTTAGGAGAGAGCTCTGATTTGGACTCAGGAGAAGGAAATGGAGGAAAGGCAGGAATTTGATGCATTTGATGCAGAAGAAAGTGAAAATGTAAGAAAAGGGGACAGAGTTAATAAATTAAGCGCTGCTTTGAACCTCCACAAGCTCTAGTAAAGATCTGAATGGCTTTTACTTCTGGCAGCTGTGCTGTGCCAGCCTGGATCCTGAACACCTCTGGGTGCTGACAGTCACTTCTGGTGAACACTGCCCGTCTGATGGTGGCGGCCCCAGGACATTTAAGGTCCTGACGGGATGGCGCCAATTTCCCCGACTCTGTCGGCCCCTCCCTCCCAGCAAGCTTCGCCCACAGTCAGCTTCTAGGCCACATTTCTGCACATGTAGTCCTGCCGCTGCGCCCTCTGTCTCGAATACCTTACCCAGCCTTTCTGCCGAGGAACTCCCCACTGGCCAAGATCCCAAACTGCCAACTCCCCCTTCCTTGAACTGGGATAGTCTCTTGCACTCTGTGGCCAGGTTACCTGCAAGGGAATGGAAATGAAAAAGGTAAGAGACTGAGCGGTTGCACCTTTTCCGGGGAGTCTGAGGACACTACCCACGGTGAGAGGAGTCGCCCACAGGGGCCTTCCCAGGGAAGGAATGGGAAGTCTACAGGGTAGTGCGGAGGGAGGTCAGCCTCACTCCTCTACGTAATGTACAGACTTCTCACGCAAATCAGCTGTGTCCCTTAATTTTAAGCAACAAAATGTGTAATTTATTGGAATGATTTATTTGCCAATGGTAAAACTGGTCAGATTTCTAGACATAAAGATCTTGTGCTGAGTCGTACTCACGCACACTTGTATTGGCAGTGAGGGGGGTATATAAAAGCAAGGAAGAGATCAGATCAGCTCTGCATAAAAAAACTTACCTTTCACCAAAAATGACCATGTGCCACCAAACTGACATACAAGCAAGTCCAACTGGAATGTTTCTCAATCTATCAACTCCCCTCTGTTGCCAAACCTGTAGGGCAAGAATGCAGTGTGTTCACTGTTACTCAGGCAGCACTTCGTACCCAAAATGCAAACAGCCCCAGGGCCTTGGAAGTACTGAGCTTGTACAGAAGGTAAGCTAAAGAAAGGAGGTGCCCCAGGGTTGTCTGATGTCAGGAAGGAAGAAAAGTCAGACTAGACTGAAAGGGGTTTATCACAACGAGGCACAAACATATAAAATATTTCATGCAGGCAACCTTATTTATTGAAAAGTCCTAATTTTATTGCCCGTTTATAGTAACATGTATGTTCCACAAACTAATTTCTCATAAAGCAAAGCACAACTTTTTCTTATAAATAGTATAAATTATTTTATTTACAGAAACTTGTTACAAAACAAATAGACTATATATTTCTTCTCTTTTAAATATCCAAAGTAATTTTCTATCCCTTGACATTTGTTCATGTTCTATACAGCAGCCAACACAAAGTCCAGCTGAGATGCTCTTGATTATGTGTACAAATTATCAAACTATTCACACATTTCAACACAGGAGATTGCTTTTATAACCAAGCTAAAAAAAACAAAACAGCCAAATGCTTTCAAGGCCCTACATTCACACTGACAGTATGTAGTGCTCATTTGAATGATCCGAAAATGTAAAATGTTTTGCAAAAAAAAGTAAAAATGATTATTTTCTGTGAAACAATGAAACTTTTAACAATCATTTCCAAAGCTCAACTTTCTCCCCCCCAGACAGAATGAGAGAGATTAAGAAATTCCTTGGCAACAGAACTCTCACAGGAAGACAGCTGCCTTTATAAGTTACATTTTTCAAATTATACATTTTTTCAAGGTTCTCAGAGGTACTTTGTATTGTATTTTTGGAAAACAATATTTCAAATATTCTATTTTAAGCTCTAAATTTCATGAGTGAATAACAAAATGGACACATTGTGTAAGCTGCTGGCTGACAAGATCTGGAACCCCTGGAGCCACGGGGCCATCCGTCACCAGCTGAATGACTGTGAACCGAAAGGAGTTAATGTTGAAATACCTTATAAAATTGCCAGCGTTGGTGGCTTTCAACTCCTCCCCTAAAATTTTAGAAACAACATTTAGGTGGAAAAAGCAAACTCCAAAAAAGTTCAACTGAACATTCAAGTCTTTTTAAAGAATCTGTCTAAGCTTAAAACTAGGTTCAGGCACTTTCAGTTTTTTTTCCATTAGTTTTAAACCACATCACATACTAACACACACGTGTGCACAGTGCGCACACACACTCAGGCGCAGACATACACACGCGCACATAAAATAACAAACCAAAGAAAAGCAGTGTGTCACTTAGTTACATGTAGTCCATCAGGAGATCAGGCGACCACGGGAAGCAGCGCCACCGTGTCTGTATGAATCCACTCCCAAGACATTAAAAGGGACAAAGAGACTTTCACAGAACAGAGGCGTCCCTTAAACTGTAAAGGAGGCAGGTTCTAGAACTATTGGCTTGGCAGTGAACCACTTCAAATTATAAAAAGGTATTTACTTTCATTAATTAATAAATAAATACTAGATGATCTCAATTGTACCAAAACAGGATATCAGAAAAAAAGACCTGTGCAAAAATACATATTTAAATATGTACAATTCATTTTTAACAAAATATGTCTTCTGAAATAGGGATACTTCCATATTTATAATAGAACAAGAAATTCCAAAATAAAGATACAAAAGTAGGTTTTGTATAATTCTTTGTTCATCATTGCAGCATTTTTTTTCTTTTTTTTTTTGTAGGTTAAGAAAACTGCAGGAGTTGTCATGAAATTCTAGTGGAAAGAATATAAAAATTATCTTGGTTTTAAATTGATACCAAAGTCTATCTAGAAATAACCCAACCACTGCAAATTTGGTTTTTCCAAGTTAATTCAAAAAATACTTGTACTCCCCATGTTTTAAATGGTCTTAATTGTTCACAATAAAAAGTAGTTGTTGGAGAAAATAAAACATTTGAACAACAGTCTAAAATTTAAATAGCACTGTTTAGAATAGGTCTGTTTGTGGCAGGCAGAATCCAAAATGGCTAATTTCCTAATCCCGATGCTCTGTGCACTACAGGGAGACATAATGAAATTCAATTAAAACCTCAGTCTAAGAAATCAAATGATCAACACTCACTTATCTAAGTATCTACATTATTCTGAAAAAACTTGCTATCATGGATCCTATTCACATCTTTTGGAACGACATGATCTGTCTATAAATTCCATCACTAGAAGCAACTTCATTTATAACCATCAAGTCCCCTTGGCTCTGAGAATAAATTCTACCCATTCCCCATTGCACTTGTCACCAAGGAATCAGCTAAGTCTGTTCTGAGTCCCTCCTACGTCCTGTCCAGCCCTCCGCTGGGATGGACCAACCAGACCGGTCTCTCCTAAAACCTCCAACTGCCCATCCATGCTCTCTCCTTACTAAGCTCTCATATAGTATTTTAAAGACATTTACTGATTGATTGCATAATAAGTGAATAGTATACTGTTCTCCCTCGTTCCTTTAAAAAAAAAAATCAGTATTTTACATCAATTTATAGCTAAAGCATCTGCATAAAGTTTTTGTCTTCTTAATAATAATTCTGTAGCAATTCACATTATTAGGCTGGTAACCAAGAATTTATTCATTCTACCTGTTGCTGACTTGAAGTTCCCTGAAATTGAAGTTTGTAACCCAAGAATTGTAAAGAAAAAAAGGATGCACTGATCGGCTCTGTCCGGGCCCTGCCCAGGGTAATGCTCGGAGCCCGGGGAATGTACCCTGCGCGCTACAACTCTGTGTGTTCACGGAGCGGAAGCGCCTGGTGCCCCTGTCCGGCTGCAGAGGTGGAATCACCTGTCAAAAAGCCCCAGCTCATCCCCCAAACTCAGTGACACCTTCTCGAGCAGCGACGCTTTCACACAGTAAGCTCTTTCATTTGGGGTGGAGCCCCTGGGGGGGCTCCGAGGCTCTCTCCCGGAGGACGGCTGGCACCAACCACTAGGCAGGAGGGCATGTTGGGGAGACACTGCATGTGTCCTAGCATCTCTGCATGGCGCACCTTGGCCAGCTTCCCTCCCTGGGTACCTGCTCCCCACCCCAGGGCATCCAAATTACCAGCAGGGCAGAAGCGCAGACACACACTGGAGGCGCTGCTCAAAGCAGGAATCTAGAGAGTCCCAGGAGGGTGTCCAAGGACATGGCAAGTGACGCAGAGTGCCGGGGCACACTTGAGCACAGCAGTGACTTTGTGAATGAGTTTCGCTGCATCCTCACCATTTCACTTTTCGAAGGCAATTTTTTGAAAGCAGGAGACTGGGCAGGACAACCGACCCCATCTGCCACACTGTTTAACATGGGACTTTTCATCTCTTTGGAACTCTTAGAAAAAAATTTTCCCCTGTATCATCCACCCCACCCCACCCACCTACAACCAAAATTTGGCTTTCCCTTATCAAAACTAGTTTGCATTTGTATTTCCTTGTCTTAAACACACAGAATTGCTTTTGTACCATGGAAAGTAAGCCTCTAAAACAGTGTACACTTCCTTTCTGGGCATCAATGACTTCAAACCAGTTTGTAACTTAGAAATGTCTGACAGCTTCTTATCCCAAACTACTTGCAAAAAAGGCTGGGCAAAGATACAGGCCAACACGGTGCCTTCGCTAACATCTACTTCCATTCCTGGAACGCTGCGCTCAGGGCCTAACGACGGGCGCCTTCTCTGGAGGGCTGCTCGGCGCAGCCGTGCTCTCCTCTGGAAGGTGCCTCCAGTTAAGGTCCCTACCTGCTGGACAGTGACCTACAGAAGACAGTGTACAACAGAGCTGGGGTGGGGGGCGGGGCAGGGAGAAAGGTCTACAGTGATGCTCTTCCCAACACGTTCTCTCGCCCAGCCTATATCTACTCAAACAGTGGCTCCATGATATACTGCAAGTTAAAAAACAAAACAAAAACTTCACACAGATTGGTAGCAAGCAGTCCAGACCACTATAACACTGAGAAAAGCAATTCGGTGGCTCAACTTGATCCAGTGTCCTTTAGGAGTACTCACTGCTACAGACAGAGCTTCAGGGAAATCCTCGGTACAACAAGAGCCCAGCAGATTTCCAGCCTTGAGGCCCGCAGGAGGTTGGGAAAACAGACTCAAAGGCATCATGGAGTCCAGAGTGCTGAGTGGAGGTGTAACTTGTCATCAAAAGCATCCAGATTATTCCTCCCCGGGCTATTGTCAGCTGTCAGGGACGCGCCTTTGGCTTTCAAAAAAGAGAGGGTGGGGAAACAGTGAGAAGGTAAGTAAGAGGGTGCACACAGCACTGCCCTGAAGTTAAACAAGGATATTCTGAGGCCACACGCCCGGAAGCCTCTGCTGCGGCCTGCTAAAGATTTTGGCCTTAACTTTCAAAGGCCTACACTGCCCTTGGGCACAATCATTCTCAAAGAGTAACTTCTACAAAATTATCTAAGAGAGATGCAGTTCAGGTTTCTAGCTTAGAGAAAGGCTCTCATGTCTGCCTTTGGGTTTTGTTTACTGAATCTGTTTACTTGAATGTATTCCAGGTTGTCAGTAGAGAGCTGAACAAGGTCAAGTGGGCTAGCACACACAGGTGTGAACACTCACACCCACACAAGTGTGGACACCTCTGGCAGGCCCCAGGCCAGGGGACAGGGAACTCCAGCCTCCACTGTCCCACAGCGAGCTACCTAATCCCTATGGCAGAGACCATGAAGAGACGGGGCAGTTCCACTGCATTCCCTTGTCGGGGGGCTTCGACCAGCTCACTTACCTGTGTTTTAAAATCAGCTCTATGAGATATAGCAAGTTGAGGTCCCTACTTTCTAAAAGCAGCATTCTTTAAAGTATTGTGCAGTCACAGGTCCCTTTGGGATTCTGCTGAAAGCCACAGATCCCCACTACAGGTAAATGACACAGGCATAAAAACATGCCACGCTGTTAGGGGTCACTGACTCTCTGACCTCAAGCTGCACTCAAGCTGCAAGTCCCCTCTGGGATCGGTGCAGCATGGTAAAAAGTACTCCACTGCACAAAGGAAATCTTTCTCACACAGAAACTTGAGGTGCAACTAATTTTAAGGAAACCAACCCAAACTTAGCCAGCAGATGTGTGGGCTATACCAGGTTTAAAAACAAAACAACAGAATTGTAGAGCTTTACAAAATGGTCAAACTTCTCGTGCATGTCCAGACCTGCAGCTTCTCTCTGAAACTGGTAGCAAGTTTCCAGGAGTAGCCCCTCCGTATAGACAGGGCCCCTACCTGCACACTTTTCCCCAAGCAACATTACACTCCACTGTGCCACCCAGCCCCTTCGCCTCCTTTCTGTTCCTTGTGGGCAGGAAGGGCTACAGCTGCCCACAAGGGAAGGCCCATACAAACGGGGGTGGTGACCGCGACGCAGCATCCCTCCTCTGGGTGTGTGTGGGGCCAGGAAACTCAAGGGCTTTTAGGGGACGGGCAGTGTTTGCACTACGTTTTTGTACTTAGCATAAACTACAATGAGTCACTACAAACCAAGAGATAAAGGCACATTTTCACAAGTCCAGGAAGCGCCTGCTCAAGGAGCCAAATGACATACCAAATAGCCGCAATACACTTGAGGTTCAAACAGAAGAATTTAAGTGTTTGCTATTTAAATTCATGGTAATTATACTTTTGGCACTGGGCGCTACCTTCACACAGACGTGGGATGAGTATTTTATCACAGTGAAAGAAGTGTCCTGGTGCCTCCCCAGGAAGTCCTACCCTGGTGTTTGAGTTAAGTTCTGAAGATGAAGGCCAACAGAAACACTAGGAAGAGGCCCCGTTGTAAGTCAGGGCTCCGTGGGGAGGCTGCTGGAACCCCCTGTACTCGCCCGGCAGGATGTCCGGAGGAATGTGCTGAGGTGAGGGAGAAGCTGGAGGCAGGTGCACAGGACACGGAGAGCAGGTCAGAGGCCCGACCGACCGGGGGAGTAGAGGGAGGGAGGCTAGTGGGCAGGGGAGGGGAAAGGGGCGCCGGTACCCGGGCAGCGTGTCTGCTCCTGGGCTGCTCCCGGGTGCCTGTTTATCTATTAGTCTCTGCTATGCCCACACCTCATGCTGCTTCCCTGCCTCCCTGGAAAACAGGGAGGAGAAAACACAGGGACAGAGTTAACCAGATACTCCGTAATTCTGTGACGGGAAAAATATTTAAAGCTTTTTCTTTATAACATTTAAATCATCCCTTTCTAGATCAGTTAGATCTCGGCCCGGCTTTCTCCAAAGGAACGCACTGGAGGGTCGCCCTCTGGGAAACCAGGCCTGCTTCCTCCCTGAACGGCACGCGGGCGCTCGCGGCTGCTGAGAGGCGCCCTGCTCTCACTCGACGGGTTCCGCATCCCTGCCCGCTGCCACGCTCCGCAGCATCCCCACCCAGCAGCATCTCCCAAGGCATCAGAAATCCTGGTAGGGCAAAGCCCGGTTTACCTTCCTATGGCCACAACTCTTCCTGTTTTAAAGGACACCGTGGAGCTGGACGTGCATTTACAGCCAAACCAACCGACCCTGCCACACAGACTCCAGGCTGGCGGGGAGCCGTGGGCCCCCCAGGCGCCCGCAGCCCACTGCCTACCTGATGGAGGAGGGAGCTGGTCACCAGTGCTGGGGCCCCGGGGCTGCTGCCCGTGTGCCTCACATGCATGTTGTTCACGGCGGGCGATCGGGGCACCTTGGTGGGTCTGGTGCCGCTGCTGACGCTGCCCGAGCCAGGTGAGCACTTCCTCTTCTTCCCTATGAGTTTGTCCAGCGGAGTGTGTGCATGCGAGTAGCCGCCGTGGGAGTTGATGGGCAGCTCGCCGGCCTGGTGGATGAATGGGCCCAGCGAGAGCGTGGAGTCGCCACTGTTTACCATCACGCTCATCCTCTTGATGGACTCCGCGGGGCTCCCTCCAGGGGGGCCCCTCCCTGCCTGGTCGTGCCGGACACTCACCGAGTTCGTCTTATTTGCCACACAGTTGAGGCCAATGCCATGGGAAGCCGGTACTGCTGAGGGGTAGGGAGGCCCCAAGGGAGCCACACAGTTTTTCCTGAAAGACTCCATGGAATGAGAAGACGAGGAGGAGGGGCGGGCGAGCAGCGGGGAGCTGTTCTTGCGTTTCTTTCCTGAGCCGCTGGTACTAGTGCTACTGGCGCTGTGACAGTTACTGCTGCTACCAGAAGACTCCTTGGGCCTTAAAGACTTGGATTTCAACTTCTGAGGTTTCCTGGGCATGGGGGAGCTGGGCACTGAGGAGAGGCCAGAGGGCGTGGAAGGGGACGAGGAGGAGGACACTTGTCTGCATTGCATACTGCACACAGGATCCACTGCCCCGGAGGTGGCAGGCTGTGCATTTAGTGTGGTTCCATGAGCTGGTACCGATTTGCTATTTGGGCAGATGCAGGTGGACGAGAGCAGGACAGGGGATGTAGACACGGTGGCTGCTGCCAGATAGCTGACCCCACACTGTGATGGCAGCACCGAGTTTGTCCGGTGAGGAACACGTGTAGAGACGGGCGACGTGGTGCTGGGCACTGGTGGGATTTTCCTGCAGAATGGGAGAGGGTGGTGAGTAGTACTCAGCACAGCCATTCATGGGAAGCTTCAGAGAGACACCCCTTCACCTGGCACCAAGAGGCACCCCCAGCAAAGGGTGGCTCGGAAATCACAGCCAGTCCCATCACATCTCCCCTTCAAGCCCTTCAGCGCCTCCCCGGGGCTCACAGAATGATGGCCTTTAACACCGAAAACCTCACCTGCAGCTGCTGCCCCCATCACACGGCCACCGCCCACCCACCAGCCCCAGTTCCCTGATTCCAACCACCGACCTTCCCTAAACAGGCCATTCCAGAAGACCCTCCTTGCCGTCTGCCTAGAACCCTCTCACCTCAGCTTCTGGTCATCCTTCAGTTTCAGCCCACCAGCACCTTCTCAGAAACTTCCCGACCATCCTGACATGCTCAGCCTCCCATGGGCATTGTCCCCTGCTCCCAGACTCTGTGGGACTCAGGGGAGTTTTAATGCATGACTGGTGATGGCTGTCTAACTTCTCACAGACAGAGCAACCCACAGCTTGGTTAGCACTGTAGCCCACAGCCCAACGCAGTGCCTGGGACACAGGAGGTGTCAAGTACTGAGAATTCATGAATGGGTGAGGAAATGGAAACACACAGCTAACAGCAACAACTGCTAGGTCCCAAATGCCGGCCAGCATGGCTGTACAGGGGAATCAAGCCCCTGACCTACAGGGATTTTCCAGTCACAGTGTTCTCTTACTGATGTCTGTGCAAGGTACCTCTCTGGGGACATGGAAGCCGGTCACATGCTCACACTAGGGTGGCCCCTTTTTATTTTAGCTGATTTTAAAATGTGATAGCACCAAAACTCAAAGCCTGTGCATCAGAATTAACACTGAGGCAGTAAACAGAAAGCGGCCTGACTGGAAGTCAAGTGCCAGGATGGCGCTGCTCCTGCCCAGTCACAGCACAACCGGGGACCCGGTTCCTCACAGCTCAGGTGACAGCGTGGACCTAGACTGCTGCCAAAGTGCTTTCCAGATGCCTCTGAGAAAACTACAGTTATTCATAAAAGGAATGAGTTACTTCAAATGTTTGCACCGGCTTTAAAGCTCCCGTTCCAGAGTATAGCTCTGGCCTGAATTCAGGGCTTCCCAAAGTGGGTCTGCACACTGGAATCATCCGTGGGACTGTGGCTGCACCCAGACGGACCACACCAGAATCTCTGGAATTAGCAATTTGTACAGCCTTCCCGGCTGAATTCCCTGAGAGGCTTATGAGAAATGCTGAGTCCCTAGGTGCTACCCCAGACCTGCTTCATCAGAGTCTGTATCTCTCCAAGACCCCCAGGCAGTCCGTGGGCAACGGCGCCTCTGGGACACTCTGCCCTAAGCTCAGGAGCCCTGCTCACTGGGTGCAGAGGCGGCCCGTGACCACCAGGTGGTGCAGGCAGGAGGCGCCTACAGACCAGGCCACAGACACCAACCCCTGGGAAATGAGAGCCTTCCGCAGGGGCGGGTATGTCACTCTCTCCTGACGTCATTGATTTCTTCTCTTAAGAAAAAAAAGTCTTAACTCATTACCTTTGGTATAAAGATGAGACAAAGAATAAAAATGCTACCCTCTGGGGAGTGGGTGAGAAATAGAAACACAGGGAGACCTTTCCACTGTATACCTCTTTATATCCATTTTTCTTTCTATAGCCAAGTGAATTTATTACCAATCTAAGATGTGAAAACTCCTCATTCAAAACAAAAAGCCCTCTGGAAAACGTCCCAGGCCCTCCTGAGAGGAAGTGGACCAGGGGTCCCAACTCAACGGCAAGCAGGCACTGACAGGGACCATGGGAGCATGGAAGTGGTCTTCTCGGAGGTGGCCGTGCTCCAGAGGAGGTGCTGGTCTGATTTCACCCGTCTAGACTCCACACACTAGAGATGCCCCATTTCACTGTCACACTCAAATCCTACCTCCACTTTCCCCCAGATTAGCCCCAGTAAGTAACTAAAGAACTAGGGGCTGTGCAGAGTGCCCCCCAGACCAGCAGCGAGGACTACTGGCTCAGCCGGAACCGGACCTGCGCCACTCAGCGACTTGCCTGACTGCCTCAGGGACGCCACCTGGGGACAGGGCTCCCCTGGCTGAGAAGCACCGAGCCTCCCCAGCAAACCCTCAGGGGCGGTTCCTCAAGCCCCTGGCCTGGCCCCTCTCTCCCCAGGCCCGGGGACCAAGTTCATCACTGAGCAACACGTCTGACTCTACTGCACCATCTTTTTTAAAACCGAAAGTCTTGTCGACAGAAAGGAATGGCTTCCTCCTCATAGGAAGCAAAGGACTGATAAGGAAGAAGGCCTCTTAACAGAGAGAGGGACAGTGGAGTCCAGCTCATGATCCTGCTTCCTCAAAAGTTCACAGCAGAGAGGAAAACCTCCGCACAAGCCAGCGGGAACCGAAACCATCTGTACCCGCCAGCCCTGAGCTACCAATCAGTGTAAGGGGAACAGAGCGTCCTGAGGACCCTGCTGTCCTTAGACAAGCACCCTAAATATACAGTTTATTAAGCTCCATGAGCTCTCCACGCCCCAGCAGGCAGCTGCAAGGAGAGAGAAGTGAGACTTCAAGTATCTTGGGATCCCCTGATGCAAACCACTGTCCAAGGCTGTCTCTGGGCAGCAACAATGTTCCTCTGTGAAGAAGGGAGAGCAACCTCTTCTCTCGTAATCAGCAGAAAGAAATGAGAAATAGAGAGGCAAAGTAACACTACTCTAGGTCTGATTTTCTAAGTGAACAAATGCAAGTACTATTAATGATCATGGAGATGGTTCTTTGGACTGTGGACTATCTGAGGCCTCTCGCCAGCTTCCTCTGAATTTATTAGGAAACCAAGACAGAGGCCAATGGATAAACTAGCAGAGTGCATTCAAGGAGGCACAGTAAATGGTGCCCGAAGAGACGATACAGGTTGACTTACGGATTACTGGGCAGTCCCCTTAGCAAAGCCCAATGTTTCCCCAAGTAGGCTCCAAACACTTGTTCCCCAAGATGCTCCTCTAAAGGTGCTCCCAGGTAAAGAGCTTGGGAGGCATTCCACATTATACATGAGAGCCCTGCTCTGCGGGTTACATGGACAAAGCCTATTAAAGGCTATGGGAAGTCCTGCAGTAATGAAAACCTTTCACTTCAGGAAAAGCTCTGCTAATAAAGAGTTGGCCATCAAACACTCTTCCACTTAAAATCCTCTTTGGGAAACACTGGCATCCACAATACCACACAAGATGATCGTCTTCTCTTAAATTATACATCAGAACACACAACTCCTCTACCTTAAACCCTCAACATCTCCCTGTCACACTCAGAATCAATTTCATTGTCACCTGGGGCCTGCCTACCTATTGGATGTCTTGTACTATGCTTTCTCAAACAAGCCAAGTTCTTTTATGACTTCAGACCTTCACATGCATGGTTCTTCTGGCTAGAACTCACTTCTCCCCTGAGTCCTTCTCAGTCCAAGGGCTGCCTCTTCAGGCAGGTTTCCCCTACAGCCCTCTGGCCCATTCATTATTTTCCCATCTTAGCTCTTTGGAACTAAACTGCTTCTGGGTCCAAATCCTGGCCCTAACACTAACTTGCTGGGCGACTTTGTTTCTGTTTCATTATCTATAAAACAGGGATAATCGAGGTAGCCTGACTCAACAAATTGCAAAAATACATTTAGTAAGTTCCCTGGCATACAGTAAGCTCTAAGTATTAGCAATTATTAGTGTTTCCATTATCTCTTTTATGACAAGCTATCACCTCTGTCTTCTCTTTATTAGTTTTTGTGTTTCTCTCCCAACTAGACTGTGAACTCCATACATGCAGGAACTGCTCTAATCTGGAATCCAGCACCCAAAAGAGGCACACCTGCTGAAAGAGTGAATGAATGAATGATTAGGGGCTGTCCTCTCAGGGCTGGTCCGAAGCCATGTTTTTATTTCAGGTAAGTTCAGTACCATCACAGCACTCCGATAGGAAATGAGGGGCGGCAGCACTAAGTATAGTCAGTCCCCTCTCCCCACCCCAGAGGCAGGGGGACCAGTACTCACTTCCACAGCTGCGCATTCAGATGCTTCTCCACCATGAGGCTGAGGGCGCAGCGAAGCCGGTTCCACCTGGAGTCAAACACGTAATAGCCTCTCCCAATCTGCCGGCTCCCAAATGTGCAAAACTGCAAGAGAGCAGAGCCACAGGTGCTTGCTAAGTGCGACGGCGGCACATGCGGGAGGTGAGCGGCAGGCCATGAAGCACGGCAGCGGCAATGCCTACCCCGAGGTCCATGGAGAGAAAGGGAAAAGCCCGAGATGGCCCCAGATGGAACGCATGCAGTCCCGGGGAGCCCCACTTGGGGCGGGTCAACGCGGGGGTAGGGGTGGCACTTACAGACGCTGGCTGGGGATGGTGACCTGAATAGTGACAGTCCAGTTTTTCAACAGACTCTTCTTTGTCATCGCCTTCTCCCTCCTCACTGGATAACCGAGAAGCTGGCTCAGTAGCAGGCAGGGGAGGGTGTGGAGATTCATGGACTGGAGAAGGGTCCATGGGGGTACTCCCACCTTGCTGAGCAGGGCAGCCTGGAGGCCTTGGTGAGTAGAAAGTGCAGTGCTTATCAGATCACAGGTCTGGGAATCAGCTGCCTTAACTCAGACACAACATCGTACCCAAAACCACCTAGGGAAGCTGTGGGGTCCGCCACTAGAGCTGGGGAAAGATGCTGATCTGGGGGCCTGGGAGCGGCACAGCGGAGCCACCCTCCTCAGCTGTGTGGCGTCTAAGTGGGCTGTTTGCCAGATCCAACCAAAGGGAACTGATTACTAGCTCTCCTTCCTCTAGCCACTTGGGTTGCTCAGGTCCGCCTCCTATTCTCCCTAAAGAAGGGGAAATTTAAGAGAATTCTTTCTTTGATTCCTCTTCAAATTCAATTTGGGTTACGAAGGCAATAAATCAGATGACTGACTAAGTGCTTGAAAATAACCTAAGAGGGACAGCAGGTGATAAAAGGGGTAGCATTAAGGCTTTACGTGGCTCACATACAGCCTCTCTCACTCAAGGACAGTGATGTATTTTCCTACATATATAAAGGCCCGGGGACTCTAGAATTAAGCTTACTGTTTTATAGATGGGAAAACTTCAGTAAGGAGATGGTCAAGGATGGACCTGGTAAGAAACTGACAGCATGGGCCCAGGGGCTCCTAGAGAGCCTCCTCCAGACCCTTCCACAGGGATGCTCAGACACCAGAGAGCTCATGCCAGACAGGCGCAAGAACACACCTGGGCTCCCAGGGAGGCGGCACTTCCATCCGCCCATGACCATGTCAAGGAGCAAATGCACGAGGATGATGGAGGCGCAACAGCAACCGAGGGGCAGCACGTTCCTGAGCAGGAGCTCTTGGTGCCAATGGCCGACCCTAAAGGCTCTCATTCTCTACACATTTCACTGCCCTTCCTCCAGAAATGGGGTGCAAAGTCCCTGACTCTAACTTGGGTAAATACACAAGCACACATACACATACATTCAGTCCAGCATCACTGTCTCCCACATGTAAGTTCTTGGTAAAACATGGATCCCTTGCTTACTACACAGCTAAAATGCCAATGCATGCTTAGGTCAAAATCCCAAATGAGTGAATGAAAAAACATGTAGGTAAATGGATGCTGTAGGAATTCGGGCTGAATGCCTGTCCCCAGCAATGATACCCACTGCTGTATTTTGCAAGAAGCAAGACAAAATGAATGGGAAATTGCTGCTGAAGCCATGTGAGATGTTTCAGTCACCATCCTGCAAGCAGGATCCAAGTTTCCACCCTGCTCAATGAGGTAAAGGGATACCTAATATTAAGCACAAGTAGAGCCGATAACTCTAATTTTATTCAGCTGCTTGCATTTGGCCAACAAGAACCCTGGTTGAAAAATTAAGGATGAACTCAACTTTTTTTTTTCTTAAAGCAAAACCTAATCAGATAAATATCTCAGCATCTCATAGCAATTTAGTGCCTGCAAGTCTGTTCTCTGAAGGAGGGAGAAAGGGCTGGAGGGCTTGACTTACCTTGGAAGACTGGGGGTGTGAGGTTTAGGTTTACTAGCTATGAAAGGCTTTGATTCGGAAGGAATCACTCCGTGAGAGTTTTGGTGTGGCTCCTGTGAAGTTCTAGGAGGGGTGGGATGCGGGTCCCTGAGAGGCTGTGTTGGTTGCTGAGAGTCCGGATGGCGAATCAATTCCTTTTCCCTGGTTTTGTTTTTGTGCTCGGCTAATAACACATCAAATCGCTTTCTTCTGCCCTGGACAGCTCTCCGCTGGGTTAAGGAATGTGTCTGCAGACCAAACAAATATGGAAACTGAGGCATATCAGCAGTAATTTTTTCTCTGTCATATATCCAAAATTTCTTATTCCTAATAAAGAAGCAATCCAGACCATTAGCATAGTCAAATGCTGTTAAACATTTTATAAGCTAAAAATTTTAAGAGTATCATCTTCTTTCTTTAGCGAGGATAGAAACACATTCCAGGCTCCAAATATATGAGGACTTGGTGATGTTATTTCCGTAAGAAAAGAGAAGGAATGCTAGCTGTGCCACCTCGTACATAACAGAGTGGCAAACAATAGAAATAAACAGGTGACAGGTAGTGTCAAGGCTCTTACCAACTCTGTAAGAAAAAAAAAATCCCTCTTCAGGCCATTGAGAGTTTTGAATCTCAGAAGGCAGGAAACACTTATCCACGAAACATGTACCAGAAAGTCATGTTTCAGTAACTGCTAAAGTAAAAATTAAACACAACTGTCTCTATTCCAGTGAAAATGCCATGTAAAGAGACCAAGTGGCTCAAGGCGCCCTGAAGGCAGGGCTGCTACAGCCAGGGGAGACCTCAGAGAAGTACAGACTCTAAGGCTGAGAGGAGAAAGGCTGTGAGCAAAGTGAAGCCCTATAGACAGACACTGTGGAAGCGGACAAAACAGGACAGACAGCATTCCTGGATCTTAAGACGGGTCTGATTCCAGAATTATGAAATGGTCACACTGAGCAAAGCAAGGCCAAGTGACAGCAGCACTTTTCTTAAGAGGGGATAATATAAACGAGTGGTCAAGCACATCTTATAAGAAAATGTCCAAATACATTGGAGAATTACTGTTTGTTTGTTCTAAAGGCTTACTTGGGGCTAACCCTATTCCTAGCAGAACAGAAAGTCAAGTTAACCTGACCGCTAATTGCATGCTGGTCTGGAAAAAAAAAAATTCAGGGCCACCAAATTAGTGGCCCCCAAATCACATATCCCAAACCTAGGTAAACTCACTCACATGCCTCATCTCTTTTATGTCACAAAAATACTGCAAACGATACTTAGTGCGGTCTTGGCCCTTCGCATCATACAAATGCTCTGTAGGTTCACAAGTTTTCTTCAGTTTAATGGGCTAAAGGGGGAATTAGGCTTCTAATGCTCTTCTGAAATTCAGTAACACAACCCACCCACCCCAACTAGACACACTGCTTAGGGCTGCCCAAAACCTAACCTGACAGAGAGTTAAATGTGTTTAGTTTCTTTTAAAATTTTTACTTAATTTTTTAAAGTATGTAGTATATCCACAAGAAATAAACTAGATGGAGACAAAGAACTTCATTTTGTTCAATGATGTACCAACATGCACTACAGCAACTGACACTCAACCAGCGCTTCAAACAAAACATATATAAAAGTAATGGCCCTCCAGTGAGGTGCTGAATGAACCAGCGAAGAGCTAATGTCCCTGGTCCACGTGCCTGTCTCTCCAGACAGATGTAGAAGGCTCTCACCTTTGATATGTCCCCTGCTGCTTAGCACAGCAAAGCCAAGTGAAAAAAGTAGGTAGAGAAAATCAGTATTTTCCTGGCTCACTTTGAAGAGCAAATAGGACTGCCACTGAGCTCTGAAGAACCTTCCACACACAAGTCTGATGCCCCTTCCCCCCAGGACTGCGGGGGGCTGCCCGAGGCCCCCGGGCCCCACACGCCCTACCGCCTGTGCTCCCTGCTCCTGCCCCTTGGATACCAAGCACCCCTCCTCCTGCTGCTCAGCCCCCTGGCTGCCTGTCAGAACCTAAGCGCAGAGCCTTCCTGCATGCTGTTCCCTCTGCCTCCCTCATGCCTCTTGGCCCAGATAAGTCATCTGGATTTCAGCCCAGCATTCCCAGCCCAATCCTCCTCCTATTAAAGGCCATCAGAACACAAGCCTCCCTCAGTGGTAACTTTGCACTGATCTGAGTAATTATCAAACGAATCTCCATCTTTCTCATTAGATGGTAAGCCCCACAAGGGGAGGGGCCTTGCCTTGATTTGTGTAAAGCCTGTGTCTTCTGAGGCCTCAGCCTCTGCTCACAGATATGAGCAATAAAAACCACTACAATGACTGCAGACAAGATGCAAGGGAGGCACAGAGGATGTAAAACAGGACATGAGACAGACGAGGAGGCGAGAACTGTGCGCTGAGAGTGGCAGGCAGACGGCGTGGAACAAGTAACAGGAGCCAGCAGCCTCAGACCCCAGGCCCTGAGGAGGGTGACGACCTGAGTCTAAGGCGGGAGAGCCCTGGGCAGCAAGGTGGGGGGTGGGGGCGTTCAGCGGGGGCATGCAAGCTAATTTTAGCTCTCCACAGCTTAACAGATCCAGGCCACAGCAGAGGCCAGGGACGAAGAAGCACCGGCCAACACAAGAGGAAGAAAGCAGGGGCAGGCCTGCCAAGATGCTGCCTGCCTACTCTGCCAGTTGTGTGCGGAACTCGTCATGACACAGCAGGGCTGAAGAAATGTATCAGTGCGAAGACAGGCTTAGCACCATGCTGCAGTCATGACACCCCTTCACAGGACACCTGGAGAGCACACACGACTTTGAAAGGACAATGGAAGAAAAATGCAGCATCTACACAGAGGCGGTCTGACACCCATCCATAAAGGTTCAGGAGGAATGCTGGTCAAACTCCTCACGGGTTCTGAATTAATAAAGCTTTTGGTTAACCAACATGCCTCACTGATGGCTTAAAAAGAGCATCTTGAATAAAGCAAGCACCCTCTGCTGACCATAGGCATCGTTATACTGAGAGGTCCTGAGATTTCTGAGAAATGTTACTGAGAGTCAGGTAGGCAAAGAGGTCAGGCAGCTGTGGTCCTGACATGGGGCAGGGCTGAGGTGTGCTTTCAGACCCTCAGGGGCAGCGGAGATGGACGTTGACTCTGCAGAGCTCAGATGGCCACCTTCAAAGCACTGCAAGGACACGCCACTGTATGTGCTCAGTTATTATATAAAAAAAATAAAAGCAATTTGTCCTGAGATAGGAGCTTTCAACCTGGAGGTTCAGGGACAGGCTTGCAGTCCATCAGTGCCTGACAATTATAAATGTGAATTAAAGTAAGAACACTTTGAAATAACATTTCATATTTATAAATATTTTAACATTCCTCTGGTGTTTAGGGGGAGGTGTAGGTAGGGCCTGAAGCGCATTATCCAAATGGAATCTTCAGTAAAATTTAATGTGACACACTAAAGTTTTATTAAATTTTTAGAAGACAACACTAATTTTTATAACATTTACCCCCCTCATCCACAAGGGCTTTTAAATCACTTCAAAGCAACAATCGCTAATACTTTCTGAACCCTTCTGAAGGAAGGTGGGAACACTGTCCAGAGAAGTGCCCACAAACATATGTGCTGTGTATGTAGGGGGATCCACTGAAGCCACCACCCATTAACCCCTTTTAGAGCAAATACACATCTTGTTATTAGTCTACTGACATTTTAAAGGAAAACTTAGAAAGGAGATCATTTTCCTTAGTCTACATGTAAATTATATTGTATGTTACTTAGCAATTTTTAAGAACTAGAAAAAGTAAGTCTATCTCAAAGACACAGATTTTTTTTTTAAGTGGCTTTTTAAAATTTAACAACCACAGATTACACAAACACTTAGGGATATTCACATATATGCAAAAGAAACTTCTGGACTTGTTTGAAGTTTGTACAATTTAAACCACTATAAATCACAGCCTCTCATATTACAATTTCTGGAAGAAATATTAAAAGTCTATGACAATAACAGACTGATCAGAAAAGAACACCATTCCTCTGGATACAACACTGCTCATTAGAAGCAAAATCTGTCTTAAGAGTATAGCTTATAACAAGACTTCCCATTTTCAGAACTTGAGGCATTCTTTGCCAAAACTAAGCCGTTCTCTCATTTACAGAACTGACAATGACAGGTGAACCCTGACTGGGTTAATTTAATGCAGTCCAGCCCAGTCCCCTGTTCTTACCCAAGGAGTCAGCTTTGAGCACAAACCCACTTACCTTGCATGTCAAAGACCGGGTACAGGGCTTCTTGGTGTCAAGATCAATGACCCCACAATGTATGTCAGGATCAAACTCTCTTTCTGTCAAAGGCACACAGACATTAAAATGCGCTCACCAAACACTCCTTCATTTATTTTGAAAATAATAGGAAAAATCTCAAGACAGAGAAACTGATAAAACTATAACCTGAAGAAATCTGCCTCACTGTGAATAAATATGAACTCTATATCAGGTGAACACACGAAGTGGGGCTACTGCTGTCAGGTAACAGGAAGGAGACCATCCCACCGGCCTTACCCATTACCCCTTTCGGCAACCCACTGCTATAAGGCTATGCTCATATCACCGGCACACACATACACTGTGAACCCAAGAATGGAGAGGTCAAGCCAACTACTTAAGGAACTTCCTCCTGACGCTGAAGTTGACCGGTCTTAAAAAGGGGACTTTCAGATAGCAGTTCATTTGCTGCCCTATGAATGCCCACTTAATAGAGAAACATTAAGGGAAAAATGAGAATTTACCTGATAATCTCTTATTTAAAAATTTCCTGTTATTGGAATTATCTTCAGACTTCTTTTCCAGAGTAGGTGGTGCAGGAAGCCCTTTGCCATTCAGAATCTGTCCAGGTGAAGGCAAGGTTGGCTTTGGTATTGAGGGGCAGTTAAGGCCAGGCTTGACTGAGGAACTCACAGTAGCAGGACAGGTGGGCCCCACTGCACATTTCAGTAGTGCACCATCCATTTTTGGATGAATCTTTTCCACTTTGACAGAGGGCGTCATGCTGCTGGGGGAGGAAGTGAGAACACCAGCACCTGAGTGCCCATGATCCCGGGGATGTGAGCGGAGGGCAGAGGGTAGCGCCAGGCACTGCACAGAGTGAGGCTCCCACGCGGGGCACCTTAGGAAGTTTCTAAGGACTACCTAGAAAACTCAGTAAGGTTCACATTTATTCAGTCTAAAGCCCTTTGGCTAGGCGAAAAGCTCCAGTGGACCATCCGATTTACCGAATTTCTCATCATTCCAGAACAATCTTACACATGCACCTGAGGGAAATGTAGACCTGATACACAATATAATTCAGGCAGGAAGCAAGCTATGACACATTCTAGAAGGACCAGAAACTACCTATGGGACCCGTAAAGAATGTAAGAACTGTCATTTTTAAGAAAGGATCCACCAAAACAAGGCAAACTGAGCAGAGAAAGAACAACTGGAATTAGAGGACATTTCCAAGAAATATCACTAAGGACTCAGGAGAACCCAAAGGAGCCTACCGACCAGCCTCTGAGGGGAGGCGCTCTGCCCCGTGGGTGGTGGCATGACTGCGGCAGGGGTCACTCTCCAGTCCCTGGAGGCGTCTAGACAGGAGCCCTCAAGGTAAGTGCCTGCCAGCACTGAATACCTGCGCCACTAACAAAGGACTGACTCTTCTTGGACTCGCAGTGACACCATCACTTGGGTGGCAAGTGCTGGATGAAGCTAACAGTTGGCCTGGTCCCCGTCTAATGCTCAGCTCCACATCCGAAGGCTTGCGCGGACGGTTTTGTGAACTCTGCTCAGTGGAGTCTGTGCTCTAACAGCTGCTAATCTGGCGAGCGACCTCACACGGCACTGACAGTGTCTCTGGCTTTCACACAGCTCCAGGAATGAAAGCCAAGCTTGCTGGACTTGCACTCCTGACAGAGGAGCAGAGGCTGGGGGCTTAGCAACTGGGACAAACAGCACCAAACAGCTGTACCTGGAACTGCCTGACAGCAGCCCTCTCCCAGCTGGCAAGGTCCCTGAGCAGGAGCAGGTGCTGGGCTCTGCCCCGAGATTAACCAGGTTATCAGACCTTGGGACTGAGATGTGTGGCATACCCTCCAAGAGGGAGGCAGGCCAGGGAAAAGCCACCAGCCACAAAGGCAAGATACGTTTCCATGGAGTGCCCGGCTGCCCCTCATGTGACCAGAGGAGCCACTGTGGAAACGTGCGGAAGCCTCGTGTGGTGGGCGTGAACTTCTTGTGTCCTCCCTCATCACGGCTGCGAGGTGAACCCAAGACTGCAGCGAGGAAGCAATGCTTCCCTATTTGCTTTGCAGGACTCAGAAAATCCTAGAACAGCATCTGGGAGTCTCTTTGCCTTTTTGTTCCAATGACTACCAACAGCAACAGCATCCATTTGTTTACTGTCTTCTGTGGGGCAGACACCACGCCAGGGGCTTGATTCTAATATACTAATTCTACTACTCCTAGTAACTGCATGGTGGCTGTTAATCTCAGATTCGAGAGAGCAGTGCCTCATCCGAGGCCATGCAGCTCCAAAGTAATAGAAGTGGGATCTGAACCCAGGCCTCTCCAGATGTTAGGGCTACCGGGCTAAATCTCCTCAACCTTACCACACTTCCTTCTTATCTGAAAAATGGGGCAACGGTAATACATATTTGATGGGATTGCTGTGATAATTAAATGGCAATACACATGAACAGCTGAGTTTCAGTAGCCGGCACACAATAAAGCGTCAATCAATAAACATTATTAACTGTACTATTACTGCTATTTCTACTTGGTAAAGTCTCCTACGATGTGACAGGGAAGCAAGAGGAGACAAAATACATGGTACATGCGGACTTTCCGCAAAGCGGCTCTTTGCCATGACTGCAGGCAGTCCCGTTCCCACGGGGGCTTCCCGACCCCGGGGTCATACTCACATACTTGGTAAAGTCTCCTACGATGTGACAGGGAAGCAAGAGGAGACAAAATACATGGTACATGCGGACTTTCCGCAAAGCGGCTCTTTCCCATGACTGCAGGCAGTCCCGTTCCCACGGGGGCTTCCCGACCCCGGGGTCATACTCACATTCTACCATGGGGGACTCGACTTGGCTGAAAGGACTGCATGGGCCTGGGGTTCCCCCTGAGCTGCAGTTTCTCTTTGGGCGATTTCAACAACTTGGAACTTAATGAGGATGTGCTCAGAACACCTCCACTGGAAGACCGGCTGCTTCCACTTCCGCTGCCGCCTTTGCTTTTGGACAGAGAAGGGAAGAAGGAAAATACTGAAGTAGGAGGAACGGCCAGAGAAGGCTTGCTGGATGAGCTGTGTCTTCTTTCTGAAAAGGAAAACAAAGGAAAAGAAAAAAAAAGACCATGTTTCAGGCAAGTCTTCAATGGAACCCTGGAAGAATCCCCTGAAGTCAACACATTTAGGTTCAAATATGGGTCATTAAGGGAAAATATATTAAACTCAGAAGCTTTCAGAAGTGGCTTATCTAGGCTCCACAGACTCATTTAGGATTCTAGGAACTGGTCCTTCTGCTTGGGCAACATCTCAGCCTAAAGTGGTTTATCATTTATAGATAACCATTAGGAAATTAAACAGCCATTCTGAACCTGAAAATACTGGGTTTTGCATGCTAGAAATGAGCCTCGCTGGCCCCAACCTGCAGTTAGAGGGAAATCACTCACTCACTGCACAGCTCTGCTAAGTGAAGCTGCAGCACTTTCTTTCTTCCTCTCTAGCATAGTACCTCTCCAATTTTCAAAATTGCAAAATGCTATGAAACAAGTTGTGCCTTAATTTTTTTTGTCACTACCCACCAACATACGACACCAAACAAGAATGCTTCTAGGGCTATCTTATCATTCCTTAAGAATCTGTGCTAAAATTTTCCAGTGAATAACTTCACTCCCTTTTTTAATAATCTCACTTGATTACAGATGGTATAAGCTGCGGTTCACAACACTAAGACGCCAAAGGCACAAGACAAAACTATCACAAATAGCTATGTCTGTTTTTTTAAACCAGGAAGTAACGCATGATTAAGTACAGACTTACACAGGTTTGACTGAAATAAGTCTATCCACTGGAAAATCAGGTTTTCTGAGAGTAAGACAATCCATATTAAATAAATCTAGAGCTCTTGAAGAATGGTACCACCGGAAACAAGTAAAATATTTAGTAGCTTTATCTACTTAAGAACCTTATGATAGTAGCTGAGTGGCTGCTTTCAATTAAACTTGTAATTTAAAATGACACATTTGCTTAACTTTTAAAATGTATGTGGTCCAACATTTACTTAACACAGTATGGAAAGCATATGAGTTTTTTTTAATTAAGCAGATTACAATCAGTAACTACAAGCATCACACAAATGGTTTATTTCTGAAGGTCTTCCTAAAGGAGTCCAGAGTCTCTCTCTGAATCTGTGATGACTTATTCCCAGAAGGACATTAGTTCAATGATGAAATACTTAAGAACCGGATCTACACCAGGACAAAACTATTATGCTACCTACCTACAGACGAAATCCAAATTCTCCAACTAGACCACACATTGGAAAGACTAAATGGGTAGTGATTATAAATCACTTATAAGTACCTGTTGCTCCCCACAACCCCACGTGAAAACTGTGTGTAAGGAAGGGAAAACTAAAATAAATTTAATAATTTTCCAAATTTGGCATCTGAAGTTTGCTTTGTTTTGTTTAATTTAGTTTTTCTCTCTTCTGTGATCCTAAAACACTGTCTGGAAATGCTTCAAGCATCAGCACTTGTCAGTCTGGACTGTAAAAATCTGCCTCCAGTTGTGCGACCTCCCTTGGATGACGGCACTTCCTGTCTCGGTCACCTGCCCCCCCACCCCCACCCCCCGTGAGGCGTGGCAGAGAGGCGGCCTTTGCTTAACATTTTCACAAACAGCAGACCTTTCTTTGCGAAGAGGAGTGGTTTTCAAATGGTCCTAGACCAGTGGCTCCTAACCATGGCTGCACATTGGCAAAACACATGGCCCTAAAAAAAAAAAAAATGCTGATGCCTGACTCCCAGCCTCAGAATTCTGACTTAGCTGGTTTGGAGCATGGCCTGAGCATCCAGACTTTTACAAGCTCCCTGTGTCACTGCTCTGTGCTGGCAAGGTTGAAAGCCTGCCTTAGACCAAGCTAACGCCTAAAGAACCATTAACCGTGGCTGAGTAAGTTAATATTTGTAGAGCGCTGAGAACCACTGCCTGGCACCTGGCACTATGTTTCAGGGTTTGCTAAATAAAGCTCACTGCTATTATTTGTCCTCAACTAGTATTTTCCCAGCTTCCACCAACTGCAAACTATTTCCCCTGTTCTTGGCAAAGCCACATAAAAATGCCATTTTTTACCCATTTTTATTTGGATTATCAACACTACATTCCCCACCCCTCATTAATATTCACGAGTTTGTCATGGGGACATCGTTGGTGTTTCGGACAAAACTGTTCTTTTACAGGATTTCAGGATGGTCAGAATTTCTGTTCCCCACCCCCTAATAACCAGCAGCACCCCTCCACCAGGACAGCCTGAAATAACCTCTCAACCCATTTTCAGATGGCCAGCATGAAGTAGGGCACCACCCTCAGTTGAGAGGTATTTTTCCAAAACAATAGTATCTATGAAACAACAGTTTGATAAGCATGTTATACAGATTTTCGAATATACATAAAAATAATTAAATGGTAAAATTTAAATATTCATCCTTGTTCATCTGCAAAAATCATCTTGTGTACTCCCGGTGGCAGTGCAGTAAAGGAATGATGCCATGTCTGTGGTACTAAGAGGGAAGAAAAATCCCAACTCTTTGACCTCTAAGAAGTTAACTCCGTTAACTATTCTCTGCATATCAGAATTTTCAAGCAAGTGTCTCAGAGTAAATATGTGTTTCCTCTTGATTTCAAACAATGTAAATAAAAATCTCAATCTAATTAAATATAGTCAAGTTCTGCTATAATGCTTGTTTCAGGAATATAAAATTATTCTGAAGCCATTAATAATACATGGAAAATGAGAGTATAATGGCATTTTGCATTTGCTTTTACAAGATTTCATCTGCAAGAAGCAGTTGTGAATGCAGAAAATTACACCTGGCTGAACTGAGCCACGTGGGAATCCACAGAACATACACAGCTGCCCTCTCCCCTGCCCGCAAACATCCACCACCCACCTCAATTCACCAGGGATGTGAGAGGCCACTCCATCCACGTCTGGTGCTACAACTTTCCCTCTACATCAGATAACCATCTTCCCACTATTTCACAACAGCTCTCAAGCAGCAACCTTTCTGACACCTGCTTCCAGAAGCAAAGGTCAGGTCATCTTCAAAGAAACTGTCTTATTCATGCATTTTTAAGCATTTAATCTATGTAAAATGTTGGTTTTGTTAAGTTCTGATCTTTTTCTGCACATGTCACTGATGAATTTTTCAGTGTTGTGCCCATACCCCATTTTCCCAATGAGTCTCATGTGGTTTTTATTGTGCAGTTTTGCATAGTGCAGCAATTTTTAGGCATGCATGTTGTTTTACAGCAGGACTGACTGTGACTTGAAGCTTGTCCTTTCACTTTTCTATTCCCATCATAGTCCATTCTCCCCATTTTCTTCAGTTAACACTTCTTATCTATTCACTCTTGATACAGGATTTCACACGAGAAAGTTAAGATTCAAAGCTCCCTGAACATTGAAAATCAGCTGATACACCAATAACATGTTTAAAAACTATTTTCTATTTCAACAATAAGAGCTACATATTACAATAAGAGCTACTTAAAAACTAAGAATGCCTATCATATGGATTTCTTTCACTAAAACTGAGATTGTGTGTGTGTGTGTGTGTGTGTGTGTGCGCGCGCGCATATGTGTGTGTGTAACTGAGATTTTGGCTTAAGTGTCAGCTCAAATCCTTGTCAAGCTGCTCAAGTAAGTTGTCGCTTCACATCATGGTCTAGGAACTTACTCTCTGGAAAGGGTGGCATCTGGCTTTTCCTCTTAGGAGAAAGCAAAAAGGATTTGGTAGTTGAGTAGGCCTCTCCTCATCTTTCACATGGGCCTCATTTTTCATAAGATTTTAAACTTATGGCTTTCCAGATCAACAGAGAAGTGGGCATGTTTTGGGACAGGTTAGGGACCTTACATTACATGGTGGCCAGATGTTAAGCATGAGTTTAAGCAGATGTCCAAGTTGAGTTTTCAAAGCGCTCCTCTCTCCAGAGTCTGACACCAGCCCGGAGAAAAACCACATGCTGTCCCTGAATTAGGAGGGCATGCTGAATGGCTCTAGGGGGGGTCGAGGTAGGCGGACTGACAGACAAATGCAGATACAGGGAAAGACAGAGCGGAGGCAGAAAAAGACAGCCATGGGTGAGTGTGTGTGTTTGGGGGATAAGGAGACCAGGCAGACAGACAAATGTGGAGATAGAGACAGTGGCAGAGAGAGAGGCAGGGGAACGGGACCAGGACCGGGACCGGGAGACAGACAGACAGCACGTGCACACCCACGAGGCGGAGGCGGTGGGTGCTCCTCCCCTTGTGGGCTGGACACGTCACACCACTGAAGGCGAGAGCAGGCGACTAGGGAGGTCCTTATTTATGTCTTCCAAAATGGAAAGCAATCAAGAATACTGAGCTCGTGATTTGGGATTCATGCTGAGATTTAAAAAATACACATATATAAGTATTGACACCCAAGTACAAACCAATAAGAAGTTCAAACAAATAATTGGATCTTTTGAAGTCACAAATTAATATTGCTTTGAGAATAACTAAAAATAACTCATAATGTATAATTGTCAAAGTTAGGGCACAAACCTAAAAAAAAATCACAACTTTAAATCATGCTTGAACAAAAATCTGGAAGGACACATATCAAACCTTTTAGAAGTGAGACTATCCCTGGGATTATCAGTCTGTTTCTGAAAAACTTTTCTATAGTGAATATGGTTTACTTGATTATTAAACACACACTTTATTTAATAAAAGAGAAATTTCATTTGGTGTTCTGGCTGCAATTTCACACATGCAAAATAAAGCAAGGCATATTGTCACTTAGGAGGACAGTGTCAATTTGTCCCATTCTTGATAGGCATCAGCTAATAGCTACTAAGAAACTTCACAAAACTGTTTTTACTCTCTTGTATCTTATTAAGCCTTTTAATCAGCCACACACTGACTGATGAGAAGTCTCACCTTCAAAAACAATAGCTGCTACTGTTTATTGGGTAGAAGCCATGTGTCAGGTCCCATGCCATGGAATTTACAGGCACTACACTATCTCATTCCATCATGACCACCTTCTTACAAAGCAGATACTA